CTCTTTGAGCTGCATTAAAATATACATGATCTTTTATAAATTTAATAGGTAGTGTTTTGTAGACTTTTAATAGTTTTAAGAAAACTTATGAAGTCATGTATGAGCAGATTACTTGCAAATTTGGAAATGCTTTATCTTCAGATAATTTAATTTCCAACCACTTTCCTGGAGTATTTTGTGAATGTGAACTTAATAATTGTTAACATTTCCTGGAAATGGTTATGTAATTTGGTACTTTTGAGAAATTGTTCACCTGGTTCAGTTTTTTTTTATTTTTGGAGAAATAATCTCATAGTTAAAGTTTATGAGCAGCAGTTAATGTCCAGGCGGGAAAGAACAAAAAAATCTTAATAACTATGATATTCTTTAATTGACAGAGATCCATCTGGCAACCAAGTAGATGTTCAATTGATTGAATCTGCAACTACTTACCACGAGTACTAGCTGTATACATTTCCCCTAGCCCTTACCAGGAAATAATTTATTTGTAGAAAATGATTTGTATTTTCTTTTAGGAAATTCGTAGGAAATTAAAATAAAGCATTACTTCCCATTTTTCAAGATTACACAAACTCTTACTTGTAGAATGGGGTTTTGTCCACCTTTTCTATTTTCTCATACTTCACCCTCTCCTCTCTCTCATCTTTCCGGGAGATAATGAATTGTTCCACCTGTGGAAGTCACTGCTCACCATCCCTTGTTTCGTCTTCATTTGCTCCTCCGTTCCCCGCTGCCTCAGCGCTCGCTGTGAGTGGAGGGGTCTCAAGCGCTAATTTGTTTTTGTTTTGCCGCGCTAACCTTGGAGGGGCGACACGCCGTTATTAGCTTCTCCTGCTCTTCTGCTGCCACACATTAGATTCAGGTCGACACGGAAGGCACTTTTCATTTGGATTTAATTCTCCTTCTCCCCCTCCAGCTCACCCTCCCCACCTTCTCCCATCCTCCCCTCAACCCTGCCACCCTCACACTTCTAATTAGATTTGGGGGGAAAATGAACTCTGATTAAAAACGCGGTCTTCTCCAACTTGACACACCACAGGCACACACCCACACTGTCTGCTGCACACAAACACACACACACACACACACACACACACACACACACACCTGACAGACACACACACGGCACAGCCGACTGAGAGCCCAGGGCAGGCTGGGAGTTTGTTTGGAAGATGTTGGGAGCTGTGATATATTGGAGGAGCCGACAGTGGCTGCAGTTCAATCCTCCTCCTCTTCCTCCCCCCCGCCCTTCTTCATCAAGTCCTCCATTAGTGCAGATCAGATCAAACTGTCAATCAACCCGGCCCGCCTGCCTGCTTCGATCTGGACTTGTGATTTCTCTCTCTGTCCCACCATGCATTATTAAAACAGATTTTCTCATATCCTGAGAGGAAATTAAAATCTGTGTTGATGTGTGTGTTCGTGTGCCTGCTTGTGTGTGTGTGTGTGTGTGTCGTGGCTGATAAGGATCTGTTGAGCCTGCAGTTCTTTGGTGGACAGTTTGGCAGTGTCAATCTCAGAGCGGTTGGTTAAGGTGTGCCAGTACAGCCAGAAGATGAGAACAAAAGTCACTGAAGCTGTAATCTTTGTTTTCGTTTATTTTTATTGAGATGTAGAAGCTTTTAGTTGCGGTTGAAAGTTGGAGGTCGGGTGTTTTGGGCATTTGAAACATCCCTATTGCAACAAGGCTCTTGATTCACATCCAGGAATCAAAACTCCACAGTCACATTTAACAAACAGAAATACTTACATCAAGTCACAGAAAGTGCCAATGCCAAGTTCTAATCAGACCTCCTTTTAAGCTTTATGCTGGATCTGTCAACTAAACACATTTTCACTTCCCTTTACAGAAGGGTGATTGTCATCCTCCAGTTAACTAACCAACTTATAGGCCATGTAACCCTTTGCCAAACAGAATGTTAGCCTTTCATTATGTCCAAACATTAACTGTCGTGTGTGAGTTGAATGTGACAAGATGCAAACTCTGGTCTATTAAGCAATATATTAAGCAATATGAATGTATTTCCTAGGGATACTGGGCTCGGGAATGTAGTAATGAATCCAAATCCAAATTCCCTCACCTCAACCTCAACCTCGTCAGAAAAGTTTGACTAGCCACCAAAGATTTGTTATACCCTCAGTTATTATTTTAGACGATTGTCTAAATAGAGTTTTAAATCATCCAAACCCACAGGAATAAAATTGTTGAAGTGAGAATGCAGACCATTTAAAACACCCTCACACTAAAAACACTTAGCATGACTTGGTGTCCTTAATATTGCCTGCATATAGATTAAAATACCTCATGAGTCAAAGAAAAAATTAGATTAATTAATATTATGATATATTATGAAAATAAAAACTTTGAAATCAAATCAAAATACATTAAACAAAGATCTATATAGAGGATAGTCAGTCAGCTGCCTCACCTCCACAGTTAAGATAACTGGGACTGTTTCGAGGAAAATGACAGTTGTGTGACTTCCCAGCAGTACTAAAGCTTATATTAGCTCTGAAAGTGCCAAGTACCAGAGGTGAAAGATATTTAAACTTTTAGCACCACATGCACCACATGCTTCCGATGGATTTTAGTTGTCACACAGCAGTGCACACCTGTAGCCCCTGGAGAGGTGCCAACTTGATATAGCGCCTACAAGAATACTTGCCAACCCTCACGGTTTTCCTGGGATATGCCTGTTTTTCATTTTGCTCTCCTGGTTTCCTCCCAGGGTTACAATTCTCCCAATTTCCCGTATTTTTCCGATTTATGACAAATGTTCACAACTTAGTCCTTTTGGCAACCTATTTCTGGCACTGTACAGACTGTAAGACCTGCAACAACTCTCTCTACTGTTTCCACCCGGACAACAACTTTTGAAGCCTGTTTAAATTATTACATCCGTCAACAAAAAATATCTTCAGAGAAATATTATCACTTTTAGTTTAGCTAATTTTGTTCCCTGAGTTGTATCTCAGGCAGCACTCCCTTTCCAGGCAATTAAATGCTTTTAGTTATACATTTATAACTCTGTGTTTGTGACATTGTTTCACTTGTCTATTAGGATGCAGTGAAAATAAGAACATAAATATTATAATGTAATATTATTGAATGAAATTAGATGCCATTTATTCCACCCCATGACCAGTCAGATGTTGATATTGGCTTAGTCTGCACAACCCTAACAATGGCAAAAGTATGGGCCATGACATTGTTTTTAATAATAAACATGCATGGCTTCTAAAGTTAATTTTCAGACAGTCACAGGGCGTGAACTAAGACTCCAGCATGAAAGACACCCAAATCACCCAAACCTTCACATTCATAAAAATGACTGATGTCCGGTGTGTGCTACAAGTATGTCTTTAACAATTCTCAGTAGAATATGGAGAATTATCTCCAATATTTAATCTTCTAGCTCGTAGTTAGGACAGGTATAGTTTATGGTCTACCAATCATGGTGAATTTACAGCCTGAAAAGCTGTTCTGAGGGAACAAATGTCCCTGTTCCCACCAGCTGCAGTATTACCAGGCTTCAGTTATGCTTGATCATATCAGCGGCACAGTGACTGATCTTTAACCCCTGCTTGTGATGAATGCGCTGCACTTGCTGCTGATCAGATCGCCACGGCCTCCCCTTCTTTCACACTAAGCTGCTGTATCCCTCGCCCTTAAACAAGCACCCGCAATTAGCACATCTCTTAACGAGGTCGTTAGAAGCCTGGTGTCCCTGGGTCCCCAACTTTACCGACTCCGTTTCCAATCAGGGATGGCTCATCTGGCTAAATGGCACATTTACACTAACACACCACAGACACACAGTCATTTCCATATTAATATAATGGGAGCACGTAGGGGTCATTAAAACATCAGAGAGTTGTAAAATCCAAATAGTAAAATACACGGAGCTGAGAGCTCCAATGATAACGAGAGAGAAAGGTACTTTATGATGATATTTGGTGGTATGAAGTGTTTAATGAAGTCATCTCCCGTATTATCTTCCCTATCTTCTCCATATCACCATAATTTGATGTGAATAGGTTAGGATAATGAGTTCTTATTCCTTGTGATGAAATAAGGGGGTGTGGGGTGGGGGTGGGGGGGGGGGTGAACTGAGGGTCACCCACCTCTGTTCTTTCTTCTCACAAGCAATAACTAAGGTACTGGTGGGATGGTGTGTCTCGTCTCTTTATTCTGAATTGCTTCCCAAAATAAAATGGAATATAATATCAAACAGTACATGTGTGTTTTTTGTCTGCTGCTGTTTTTCGTGGTTTAGGCTAGGGCCTGTGTTTCTAATTAAAGAAAAGCTGAATGCTACAATGATATATTTTAGACAATAGTCTACTTTGTGGCAACAGTTTGGGGAAGGTCCTTTCCTGTTTCAACATGATTATGCCCCTTTGCACAACGCCAGGTCCATAAATAAATGTTTTTCCTGGTTTGGTGTGAAAGAACTTGACTGGCCTTGACATGATCAATTATAACCTGTTGTGCACATTCACTGATTATTTATATTACTATTCTTATACTCAACATTATGGTCCTGATGTTTACCAACTGTACTTTTTAATTACTAATAAACTCCATCTCCAATCCAAAAGGAAATTATATTAAGAAGAAATACAATAGTAAATTTAACTGCTGAAAGTTGTTATGACGATTCTGCCATCTTTAATTTTTTTCATACCTAACTGGTTCATAAATGCCTGAATGACTGATGTATTAGAGTTGCTTAATAGCCACACAAAATACTTGCTTCTGATTGGCCTTTAAAATATAATGTAAATATACAGTTGTAGAAATCAAGACTTTAATCAGCGTTTAAAATACTGTACATGTCAGTTAAACCACAGTAGCCTAAACATTTTTTAAAGATGGATCATAATATCATTGACTTGACCTTTTCAGCGGTTTTTCATTTCAGACACATTTCTCACAAATACACAAAGCGAAAATATTGTATTTAGATATTTGTGAATGTGTGTATTCTTCTCTTCAGCTTGTGATGAGTGGACTGCCCTCCCCAGACCAGGGCTGCACCGGGACGTCAACCGCTTTGGACATTCTGCCGTGGTTAGCAACGGGTAAGTGCCATCCTTCCATACTAGTTGAGTCTTATTCATCACTGCTACACTCTATCTGGGAAATACTTTTTTAAATATCCCCTCTATAGAATATCTATAGCCTCTGAATTTACCTGAGATTTGTTGCCTTGTTCAAGGAAACTTGTGCTCAAATCTGGATAAAACACAATCTACTAAACTACTCAATTCACAAGGAATTATTCCTTGGCATATTTTTACATTTCCTTGATGTCTTCATGCAGTGTCCTCTAAGTTTTGGAAGCGCTGAGAACTCTTCTCTGCTTTTCCCTTTCGCAGGTTATGGTTTGTTATGTAGATTGTTTATGGATTGATCTCTCTATCTCACTGTTATATTTAGTTTCAGTTTACACTTCTCCCTTTGCTGGTTTTTCTGAAGCTCTCTGTTTAGAAGTGTCTCTCCCACTCCACCTCTTGTCTATGTGTAGATGTTTCTCCTGCTTCACTCTCTCAGTAACTTTCTTTACTTTACTTTTTATGTATAAATAGAATATATACGCATATATGCACTGTTTATTCCCTCGAGAGCTCTATTTATAACTTTACTTTTTTTTAAATCTGTATCGCTGTATTTCACTTGCTTCATTCACACAGAAAAGTTGATCAGTCTAATTCTTCCATACTTGTGCTGTGGTTTTTTCAATTGCTCTATAGTCAGCCTACAAGCCAATCAGACTGTCACCTTCAAAAGAAAAAAACTGCAGAAGACAGTTTTAATAAAACAAAATAAAGGAAACTGCACCCTGCATTCCTCAGCCACAGTTCTTTTGATGATTAATGCTTTTCTTAAAGTCATGAAAAACTGCCCAAATGTAGATAACCTGATATCACGTATAGATTTTCAGAGCTTCTGCAATATAGTCTGATAACAGTTATTTTTTTCTTAAACATCATCGGTGTGCAGAATGTTTTATAAGCTAAAATACAAAAGACACCCCATAATTGGTTCAAAAACAATGACATCTTGATGCAGAGTGACTTGGTCTTGCTGGACTCAGACATAACAGTATGACCCTTTAACATCATTTACCCACTGAAAAGTCAGCTTTGAGCGGTAAAATGTCAGCTTTGAACTTTTGAAGGCCAGCTTCGAGCCACTTGCTCCCCGCCCCCAACCAAAGTTCAGCTTTATTTTTAAAAGGTTCTCCTGTTTTATTACCCTGTCTTCATCTCTGTAGGCATTTCTTGTTTATTTAAGACTAGCACTATCTTGCTAGAACTTTTACCTCCTTCCACAGCTGTATGTTTCTGCTGCCCTTTTATTTCTGTATCATTCTCTCTGTATCTTCTTCAGCTCCATGTACATCTTTGGAGGTTTTTCAGGCCTCCTTCTGAACGATGTGCTGGCCTACACCCCTCCGTCCTGCAAGGCATTTTCTAACCCAACTTTGTGTGCTGCTGCTGGGCCAGGCCTTCGCTGCCACTGGATCAAAAGTAGATGTGTCCCCTGGGAGCCAAAACCACCTGATCACATTTTTCCTGCTCCTTTTTGCCCAGCACGACTTGGTACGTTACACTGAGGTCCTGTCTGCCCAGTGGAATTCTTTTATCTGTCTCTGTTCTTACTTTTTCCCTAAATATTTTCACTGTCATGTCAACATAATTTTCCTGAAATGTACAGCAAAATCATACTCAAGTGTTATTCCCAAAAGACCAATTTTTCATGAGAATAATAATTATTCTGAAGTATTTGGCTTCTGAAGTTTGTTTGCATACCATAATTATAGGAACAGAAGGTCAATGCTGCAGCAATTACCTCATTTTAAAGTAATTAGGGTCAGTTTTCCTCCTCCCACTCATCTGTCTCTGCCAGATGTAGATGCTGTAGCTTTTGCAGTAGTATTCTCCTTTTGGCAGCTCATTGCAGGTTTAAATAAAAAGCAATAATGAAATATAAATATATATAGATATATATAAATATCTGTCACAAGCACGATTGAAGTCTGACAGATTAAAATGTCCCAGATCAGTGTTGCATGACATTACTGTCTTTTCCATATGTAAATCATTTTTATCCCATCCAAACATGGAAATTAGAGGTTAGTTTACACTTCATTAAAGCATTACTTGCTTGCACATGGCCACCACATGAATCTGTTTCCTGACAAATTCCAGATATTTTGAAAAAAGAGCCAGATGGACATTCCAGTGCCCCTCCTGCTTTTCAGACTGATGCAAACTGACTCTGACTTTTTACTCCTTTGCTCATCTCAACATTGACATTGAAACACTTGTTAGTCAATTTTGATAAGTGGCGATTGATCAGCGTGCTTCTTATTGGAACTGAATTCCCAGCCGATGAATAAATCTTTTCTAACACAGAAAGAAGTAAGAACTAAACTCTTTTTTTGAAAGGAAGGTGTAGGAATGAAACATTTCACATGTCAAAGAGATTTCACTATGACAGCTGCGAACAGAAGTAAGTGTAGCCATGTTAAATGTTTTTCTGATATGTAGTGTTCAATATTAACATAATGTCTTTACTCACAGGAGAAATTCTGAACAAATGTTCTTTTGCCTGAGACTACTCACACACATGCTCCATGCACTCAATTTGCATTTTTTTCCTTAACAATCTTGCTGTACTGCTTCACTCGTCAATCTGTGACGAGTGAAACGCCTTACTACATTATTATCCCACTACACAAAACCGCAGACTGCAGCAACAATATAACCTGATCTGCTCACTCCTGTTTGTATGTGTTAATGTGTGTGTTGTGCTCTCTTCCAGACAGTACAGACGAGCAGTGTTTCAAATTCTCAGACTGTGCAAGCTGCACCGCCAACACGCTGGGCTGTCAGTGGTGTGAGGACAGGAAATGTATCTCTGCCTCCAGCAACTGCACAGTGGTGAGTCTTCACTGAGAGTCTGTGAAGCAAGACTGTTAAAAAAAAAAAACTGCTAGCCACTGAGGCTGCGATGTTCATTAGGTGTTACAATACCAGTCAAACCAGTGATAACAAATACAAAATGAACACCTCATTTACTACAGTGAACAAACAACATACCAATTAAGTTTTCTTCTTCTTCGAGCCTTTCCACTAGTAGGGAAAAAGTTTGTCCTTAGGGTGGTGCTAGCGGGAAGGTCAAGAGGTTCATCCTCTGTGTAGCGTGAATGTGCTCTGTACATTTTAATGCAATGTGCCTATGACATTATAAGATTTAGTCGATGTCATTGCAACCTACCTGTTGGAATTTTCTTTAGATTTCGACCAGTGATATAAACACTGTCCACTTATTAAAGATCTAAAATCAATCAATCAGCTTTTTCTTCTTTGAGTTATCTGACAACTCTTCATCATATGGGTTTATTATCTTTTATCCTCTCAAGGATGTTAAAAAAAAAGATTCAAGGTTTGTGCGATGTATATTGAAAACGTTGGCACTTTTACTGCTCATTTTGTTTTCTCTCTGTCTCTCTCTATTTTTACTCCCAACCCTGCTGTCTCTGTCTTTCTTTGTATGTTTGTTTGTCTGCATGTTGCTTTTGTCTGTTTGTGTTTGCTTGGGTGGTGATAAATATAAATCTGTGAATGAATCTGTGTGTGTATAGCTAACTCTGGAGCTGGCCCAGCAGCATGGCGGCGCTCTGTCTCTGTCTCGCCCACCATCCATGTTGTCTGAACATCAGCTGAGTTTGTGGAAGCACGGAGCCAGAAGGAGGGGACATGTGTGTATTATTTGACACTTAATACTTCCTGTTAGGCGGCAGGTCAGGTTGAGGTCAGAGGTCAGAGCAGGATTTAGGGTTTTATGGAAAAATAAATGTAAACCCCAATTTACATTTAATTCATGGCCTTTATGTATACAAACTTTCCTTATCTGTGATAATGGTGATGACTATTGAAATGTTGCTAGAAAAAAGAACACCATGCTGACTTCGGGCTGAAAATTTGGGCCCTACTTTGGTGTTGGAACAGGGCACAGAACACAGTGTCGCACCAGCAAACTGGAACACGCTATTTTCTTGACTGTACCAGTTTGGTGACTCAGTGGGACGAGTAGCAGGGTTGAGGGTGTGGTGATGCCCATCCAGTGGTGCACTGCAATCTTGGTGCCAAGAATGAGTGCGTCTCACGCCGTCCGCTGCTCAGAGCAGAAGTAGAAAGTTCAGCACACTTGTGTTCCATTATATTTTGGTCACTTTGTTTGGTGAAAGTGTAAAGGAAACCAGTGAGGCTTTGCAGTTAGTAAACCTCACTCCCCTATGCACTGGCGACTGATGCTAGTGGCCATTGGTTTTAGCCTCCTCATCAGCGTGTCTCCCTCTTGTACCTGAGGTCGTCGGTTCAAATCAGGACCGTGCAGTCCAACTCGGGGGAACAGTTACAAATGTGCACCCACACAGACCTCTAAAATTGTACGATTCATATATCACACAGAATTTTTTAAAATTCTGATTATGGCATTAATGCCAGAGAGACATTAATAAAAATTAATGAGTGATTCTTACCAACCGTGTAATCCAGGCTTTTCCTCTACTCTCGTGACTGTTCTATCCATTTCAATGATGTTGCGCTGGAAATTATTGGCAACTATTTTGTCCCAGGTTGACAGCAATTATTTTTGCATTAAAATCTAATCAAAACTGAAATAAAAAAATAAAACATGCAACAAACTAGAGTGCATTTTAAATTCTTCTTTCATAGAATTTGTGGCAGTGTGGTTGTGTTTAACTGCAGATAGTTATTGTATGGATTATTTGATGAGAAATAAACTTGAGCACTATTACGCACAGAGAACATGGTGATCGTCAGATCAACATTAAAGTAAATTCACTTTAAAAGAGTCATCATCTGCTCTTGGTAAAATATTTGAGCTGCTGTATTCATGTTGAAACTCTGCACATCCCAAGTTCCCTCTGAGGAAAACGCTTCACAGGATCCTCAAACTGTGAATGAGTAAAGACGGAGAAAACCTAGTGTTCAAATGCAACAAAAGTGGTGATCGTGATTGGAGACTGCCACAGCCTCTATTATGCCCACCTATAATGTATGATAATGTATTCTTTCTGATCTCACCCTGTATGTAAGTGAGCCGCAGGTGCACAGGGAGAGCCTGGCCACAAAAAAAACCCAAATATGCATTTGGCAGCCCCCAATGCACGAGGCAGGGCGCACTTGACTGCAATCTGTGCAGAATCGCTGGGTTTATAAAAATAGAGCCCTTAGACTGAACATTCATTTAGTGATAATCAAAATACTGAATCCTTAAAATCCTTAAAAAACTGGATCCAATCCATGGCCTAAAAATTTATTAAAATACTTTTCTTACATCCTGCTTTTCTGACATTTGCTGTTGTGTAAGTGAGATGCACAGAGCATAAACACAACTTCAATAAAAAGTCCATCTCCATCTCAGTGTAACGTGTCCCTCATATTGATTTCTCTTTTCACTCTGCATGTTCTGTTTGGATGTTTGATTCCGTCAACCACTGCACTTTATTCATCTTCAGCTTTGTTGCACATTGTATTGATTCCTCGAGGTTAATTTCATTTACTGTAAAAGAGGACATCAATGATGAAGTTTAACTTGACTGATGTTTCCTCTGTGTGTGTTTGAAGTCGGTGAGAGACTCGTCCAGGTGTAAGCACAGGGAGGAGCAGGAGTGTTTCAGACTGGCCAACTGCAGGAGCTGCTCCCTCAACATCAACTGTCAGTGGGAGCTGCAGCAACAGGAGTGTCAAGCTCTGCCTGGTGAGGAGACAATCATGCACACTGAGAGAACAAACACGCAAGCAGCCTGGCACACATACGCACAAACCACCATGAATGCACTTTCAGCAGCTGCACACATTTTTATACTTAAGATTTATCTATTGCGCAATACAGACATTGGGACCGTGAGAACGAAAATGAGTGCCATTTCATTGCAAGACATTTCCTTTTCAGGACACGGCTCAAATGAAATTAAATTCATGAACTTCATTTTATTCAGAGTAATTTAAATGAGAAAAACCTTTGCGACTTGGCACCTGTGAGTTGGATCCTAAGCTGCTTCCTGAGGTTCGCTAAGGCTTCATACATCAAAAATGAACACACAGAGACAGTTGAACAAATGCACGGATACATAAACTGTTTCATAAACAGTGTGGATCTTTTTGATTCCATGTGCAATATTGGAGTGATTGTTGATTGATTCAATATTGTGAATCTGGCAGTGCCGATTATTATCTCTGTAGCAAGTACATTTGTTTTTCCAAGTTGTTGAAGGGATGCTCTGTTCTGTTAAGAAGATTCGGAGCATGTGCCTGTTCCCACACTGACTGGCAGGGTATTATTAGTGGTCTTCACAAAATAAACAGTCTCATACATCCATGCAGGCATGTACACAGAGAGGATTAGCATATATCATGAACACATACTTCAGAATACACTCTCTACTCAGCTGCAAAGGGAAGTAGGCCAATTAGAAATGTTTACTGGATGTCTGAATATGGATCCTTGGCTGAATAACAAACTGGAATCCACATAGTCCTCCTGTGGAGCCTTTAGCTAGAGCTGCTCTCGGTTTGACTTTGGTGCTAGCATGACTAAGGGCAAAGGAAAAACCCTTGCTATTTGAATCCACAAATTATCCTGTTCCATGCTGAGTTGTATTTTGCTAGGAGCCTGCTAGCTAGCTTGTTCTGCTATGAGCTGATTCTGGTATTGTGTGTGCTCCCTTTCTTCTGTTCACATCAAGGCCCTGTAGCCTGGTACACTTCCACCCCCTTCGGTTTGTAATGAACTGTTTCTGTTGTTAAGTTGAGGTAAGATAGTATACATTTGGAGCACTAAATGACAATCCCAGAAGAATAGTTTTGCTTGTATTGAGTTTTTTAGTTATGTTACATCAAAACATTATTTTCTCCTCCTTTGAATGACTATACTTCAACATGTACTTCACGTTGAAATTAAGTTTTTAATGCTGTTAACAACTCTGGAAACCTAGATGTCGTCACCTAGTGTAAATCTACACTTTTTTGGGTGTGAGTTTGTAAAAATCCGAACGTGGTGACTGTGTTCACCTGTGTTGTAGTCATCAGATGAGTTCAGATTAAACGTCAGTCACACTTCCTGAAGCATTGTTTGGCCTGTGAAAACAGAGTAGCTTGTAGCTTGACGGTGTATTTTCTTTGTATATTTTGTTCAATGTAGAGAATTGGAAAGGCAGAGGCAGCTATGATCATTTGCCACCTCAATTTTGTTTAAAGCTAGTTGAAGTAGTGGAGAGAAGTAAAAATAAACAACAACTTTGTGCTTCCATTGTCTGTGTGGCTTAAAAACAAGTGCTGTTGGTTGCAGCTACCACACAACAGATGATATTTGCATAAAGTTGAAACTTGCTCATCGCACCGCTGAGTCTTTGACTTTTTGAGTTTTGCCAGCTGTTGCCAGCATGTGAATTGTAGTTCAGCTCAAAATGACTGGCATACGTCTCTTCTCCAGTCTTATGTGTGAACGGGAAGTAACTGTGACATTTAGGACTTTCAGAGGGTCACTGGCCACACTGATGAAATTAGGACATTTCTGTTTCATTCTGTTTTTTTCTGACTTCATTAGTGAGCCAAGGCGCACAGTATTTTCTGTGATATTCTGTGAAGATATTTGCAGTAACAATGTGGTAAAGATGAACTGGGGTAATGGAAACGAGCTCCACCATCATGGCAGCTGTGGCCTTTTCTTTAGACACCATGTTATGACTAATTATTCTAAATGGCCTGACATGTTTATCTCTGCTTTTACACAAAGACCGTTACCTAATCCATCTATTTATTTTTGTACTCTTCGTTTTACCCCATTCATCTCTTTCTCCCCTCGTTGTGGTCAGTTATTGCCCATTGCTGTTGCTTGGGGAAATAAATAAAGAATGTAGGTATTTTCTTTTCTGTTGCATGAAAAGGTTGGTGATGGAAGCCATTATGGGCCTGTGAATGTAATCAGTCCGGAGTCCAAAATAAACAGCGGTGCTCAGTGGAGACAGAATGACTTTTTCTTCCCTTTCATCCTGGCTAATTGAAGGCCTCTCTATTTTAGTCTTCTACAAGACTCTACCAGTGACCCTGATAATGAGTTCGTATATGAGTTTGAGTTTGTCTGCCAGTCTTACTCAGCTGTTAAAGGCTATATGCCGTGTATTTCTAACTTCGGGAATCAGCACTGACGAGTCTTGTCAGTAAAAAGCAAGAATGTGGTGCGCTGATCAAAGATAACAGCATAAATCAACAATGACATCAGCCTCTAAAATCAGTCCAATAAGATATTAACGTACTAACCACATTAACCAGAAATATTTCTTTAAAGCTGTTCAATCATCTGTCGATTCTGGCAGCACAGTTTATTTTCCAGGCCATCAGCTCAACAGTGTCATTCCCCTCCTGTCCACAGCAGTCCTCAGTGAGTTTCCTGCCTTTGTCAGTCACCTGACTGTCCACTTACCTGAACCTGTTCAAACTACCTCATTTGTCTCAATCTATATACATCCTCTGGCTGTTTTTTCTTCAAACTGCCTACTGTGTTTGTCTTTTTGGATTTGTTGCTGGTTCTCCCTGCCTACTTGTTGATTATTGAATGCTACCTTGACGAAGCTACACATTGATTAACCTTTCCTCCTGTTAGCTGAGTTACACTGTTTAAAGGTGAACTCAGGGCTCTCACGTTTTATCAAAAGTTTGGAGTGAGAACAAATAGAAAGTATAACAATTGGTAGATCTGATAAAAGACTATTTATTTATATACTTACATTTCAAAATACAAATGTATCAAAACTAAAAGGAAATTTAGCCCCAAACAAGCCCATTGAACAGCAGTGCTCTTCACATAGGCCTACAGTACGATGGCAGAACTGCCAAGCTGTGTGTGTGTGATAGGCTACACATTTCAGCTTATGAATGGTGTTTTGTGTTGTAAGTATTTGTTGCACATTTTTATGCCTTGATGACGGGTGTAGGGGGCCGTGGCTCAAGGCCAGCCATTTTCCCCATCATGATGGATGATAGCTTTCTGTCCAGAGCCAAAATATAAAAAACATCTCTGATCCTTTCCTTTGTTATTGTCCACCACTGGGTTTAGCTTTGGCAACCTGAAACCAAGTAGTACTGTACCTAAGTACGCGAGGTATTTGTATTGAACTTGAATATTTTCTTTTCATGCCACTTTCTACTTCTACATCACCACATCTCCAAAGGGAAATATTGTACTTTTTACTTATCTGACAGCTCAGTTACTAGTTAGAAATAATTTAAAGAGAAGCTTTTTACACACAAAATGAAGAGTTTAAAAAATAGGATGTTTTGATATATATTAAATTACTTAACAGTTTATAAGTCCAGCTAGTAGAACTACATCAGTTAGTCTAATTGACGGAAATTTAATTGGCAACTGTTTTGGTATTAGTCATTTTTCATGTAAAAACATTTTATGGTTCCAGCTTCCAGTCTGATACAAAATAGTTCAACCTCATCCAACTACATTAATGCATGAGGAATAATATAATTATATATTAATAGTATAACAGTCATAGGGGACATTTTTCTTTCTGCTTTGAGTAGGCTACTTTTATTTTTAATTGGCTACTTCTACATTTTCTTGCTTATAGCCTAATTACATACTTTTGCTTAACTTTTTCAATGCAGTAGGCCTCCTTGCAGAGTATTTTTACAGTGAGGTATTGGTACTTTTATAAGGATCTGAATAGGCATATGTTTGGCTACTTTGCTCACCACTGGCTAAAAAAGCCAAAGCTTCTGGTTGCAAAGAGGTTGGAGAGATTTTGACTGCATCAGTACTCATAAGGACTCCCCATCATCAGCTGCTCTCACTATCTTGATCAGAGGCAAGTGATTTCGTCCAGGAATCGTAAAATCAAAATAATAATAAAAAATTCATCAGGTCTTGCGCTTCCAACTTCCACTCCGTGTGTGCACGCGCATCCACGTTGCCGAACGTGCTTGCGGCGGGATCACGCAATTTAACCGGAAACAACACATTTTAATTTCTGATCGGGTTAACGGCTCTGTTAACGGATTCATTAGGCTACGGAAAGAGAGGAACTCGGCACAAAAATGATCGTCCATTAATTTAACATATAGCGGGACAACTTCGAGGACGTTGTGTCATAACTTCTCTGCGTGAGAAAAATACAAGGTGTGGCGCGTGAACTGGCTGAAATGCGTGAGACTTGAGAGCCCTGTGAACTTGTCGTCTTCTGTGTTGTGTGGTATTTTCTAAGTTATTTTACTTCAAGAGTATGTCACTGAAAAAGAAAATTCTCACATTTGAAACTCCATTTGCATTTTACTCTGCTAACTGTAAAATGATAACTGCTAACATTACAAGCTAGGTGTTGGCAAGCTAACATTTGTTAGCTCATTGTTGATCTGTTAGCATAATAAGTCGCTATGGTAATAAGATCATGCTAAACATTTGAAACACTATCATGTTAAGCTGCTAAACTTATGTGTATCAGTGTAATCACAGTGACGTGTTAAACATTACAAGCCAAACATTGTTGTTGACATACTAAACATTATAAACTAAAGCTAACTTAAACATTAGCATGTTCAAACTGTTAATGTTAAGAAAATGCTAAGCATTATAAAACAAACATTACCATGTTAGCATACTAAACATTACACGGTAAAGAAACATTAACATGCAGATTTAGCATGTTAACAAAGCGCTAACTGTAGGTATTTTTGTGCTAATGTTTAACTTTCGCTGTAATAAAACTATAGGCATGCTAATATTAGCATTGTAGCATCTCATTGAGTTGAATTATGTTATTGGCAGATTAAAATTCTCAAACTATCAGTCAAACTTAAGTTCTTGAACCAAAATAAGTTGAATCTAGCAAAGTTCATGCATCTGATATCCATGTTGTCATCTAGGGTTTTCAAGACTGCTAGCAAACCACAGACTTTCATTCTAGTCTAGTGTTTTAATGTTATTTGATTACCAAGAATTGGTGTTAACACAGATGTATTGAATCAATCAAACTTTATTTCTAAAGCACATTTAAAACAACCAGGTTGACTAAAGTGCTGTACATTGACATGAAACAATAAATAGACAAAATACAACACACAGTTCTCATGACAGATTAAAAGCCAAGGAAAAAATGTTTAAGTGGTGATTTTAAAAACTGGAAGGCTTGGTGCCAGTCTGAAATGGAGAGGCAATTCATTCCACAGTCTCGGGGCTGCGACTGAGAAAGCTCAATTCCCTCCTGCTCTTGAGCCGTGTTTTAGGGACAACAATGAAGACACTAACAGGAACATAACGAACCAGCGGTATCGATCACCCGGGCCAACGACCCCACTGAGGTTAATAGCTGAGTTTCCCTGCCAGTCAGTCAGAACTGAAGAAGTCCTTTGGATGAGGGACGAAACGTCTTCCAGTATCTTCAACCAAGTCCAGTTGCCCTTGACTTTAACCTTCGTTGGATAACTATGACCTGGATGACTGAGAATCTTCATAGACAATTGAAGACAGTATTTGTTTGTTTGTTTGTGTGCAGGCCAGTGTGGGGAGGGCTGGCACCACGGGGGAGGCCTGCCTGAGGATCAACTCCAGCAGAGAGAGCTATGATAACGCCCAGCACTACTGCAAAAACCTGGGAGGAAATATTGCCTCTTTGCTCTCTGACAAACAGGTCATTTTGTTATGGAAGAGCTACAAAATACCAGCTGCAAGAAAAGGTGGGTGGTGTTAAAAAAGACAAAAACTATAAATAAAAGTTATGTGACTCCTTCATGCTAACAGTTGGTGAGCGCTATATTTTTCCACTCTGGCTTCTCTGCCAAATTGCTGTGGCTTTTAACACACCAGTGTGCTGCAGGTCATTTATGATTTAAAAAAAAAAGAAGCCAAACTTCATACATGTTTGGTAAGTGTAAATAATTTGAGCTATGAAAGCATGCTACAGTTTGTTTATTATGTTGTGAATGAAGATTCCTGACTTGGCAAAGTAGCACTTGCTTTTTTTTCTTGTGATAGTTGGTTTGGGATTTGTATGTTTGGAAACCCTTCCCACTAAGCACTTATCACCAGTACTTCAAGATGATTTTGAGACATACTCATACTTTGGAAGGGTACTGGGCTGTAACCATTCTTCTTGTTCACACTGGGCAATCTAGTGAAGGTCAGCTGAAGCTAATCAGGCTTCAACAGTCTGATGTAGTAAATCCAGTGGCTATCCTCCAAAGTTAGTCTTCTTAGTATGAAATTCCTGCTTGTGTTACTGTCCCTCCTATTCAGATCAACAAGGAATCTGCCAGTGTAAAAACAAGAGAGAAACTGTATGATCAAAATACTTCAAATTTGAACATACCCACTTGATTTGGCTAACTCTCACAGCTAAAGCCTGGGTGTCTCTCTTTACTCGAGTAGTAAGGGATCGCTCAGGGCCAGCGTGGAGATGATGTGAATGATTGCAGCTGTCAGTAACTTTATCAGCGTACACTATATGATATCTGAGCATTGCATTAAGATGGAGATACAAACCTAGCCTTTAATTAGTTTAGAAAAGACCTGTATCTCATCAGGCTGGTTTATAATGAAAGTAAGGAAACAAACAAATGCAACATCATATACATGGGTATAGTGTTGCATCTGAATGTTATTGTTTTTTAATACATACTATTTTTAGAGATATTAGTATTGTAATGTTCTGCTGATTTATGTGGACAACTGCCCAGCGTTTGTTATACAACATATAATATGCATAAGGTTCCAGACTCAATGTTACCATAACAAATGAATATAAAGTTATTTATTAGGATGCCAAGGAATGTGTGGTCAGTTTCTCACCGGGATATTTCTACTACTATGGAGTCAAGGCATAAAAATAAATAGAGATAATCACTCTTAGCCCACCATGAAGCACAAAAGCAGCTCATCATCACATTTCTTCTTAGTAAACCCAGAGTGGCAGGATGTGAATGTTTTCCACATATTCATGTGTTCTTTAAATGGCTGCTTTTCAGTGAGAAATCAATCACT